AAGCACCTCGAGTTCTACTAGCTCTAGCAGTACCACGTCAACGTCCAGCACATCCACCACAAGCACATCTAGCAGCAGCACCAGCACATCCAGCACCAGCACATCCAGCTCCACCACATCTAGCAGCAGTACGGCGAGCAGCACGACGTCAAGCACCACTTCAACCACTTCGTCCACAAGCAGTTCTTTCACTACCACATCCAGCAGCACTTCAACATCATCGGTTTCCAGCACATCGAGCTCCAGTACTTCCAGTACAAGTACAAGCACTACTACCCCTGTGCCTTCGTGCGTCCTGGCTTCCTTTCGTCCTATGCAGACAGCGGCGAGTTTGTTTGCATTCCTGCAGTTCCCAAGGCCGCCAGTATTTAGGCGGGGTGCCGCTGGTCGCTGCCGGTACCGGTGAAGCGGCTCGCCGACACAGGGGCAGAAGACGCCGTGCCTATCGTTTGGCATGTGCTGTCATCAAGTCGAACCTGAGGTGACCTGCCAGGGCGCCCAAGAACAAGATTGGTGCTTAGCAGATTCGATGACGAATCCAGACGGGCATGCCCAATGTGACACCCGGCACAAGAGGTAGCCAAGAACGTGCGAACATGTTTGACAAGAAGTGAGGCACACTAGTTTACTTCGAACACGATTAGATATCCAGGCACCTGTGTGCTTACTGATGTTTGGCGCACGTGCATGTTTGATTCTAATCGAACGGCACCCAAAGGACAACACATCCACTGCGAAACTATTCTGTCCAGTTCGGGGACGTGGAGCATCCGGCGACGGCGACGTTCCGTGCAAAGCGTGTGCAACAGTTGTTGCTCAAGACTGGCAACAACATGGCTACAAGCTTTTTGGCGACTCACTTTCTACCCTGGCAAGCTTTGCAGCGAGCTTTCCTGCTTCCCTGTTGGCTGTTTCTTTGTGTGCCGCTGTTGAGCAGGTGAGATTCGCTGGGGTCCAACGGCGAATTGCCAAGCAAACGAATCCAACATCGAGGGCTATCGGGTTGCCCGGCCGCATTGGCCAAGCACGGCACATTCATATTGTCGCCAGCAATGCTCTGTTTCGTTGTAGGATGCGTGCATCTTTGCATGGCTTTGAGTTCATGGGATGCATAAAAGTGCAACAGTGTAGTTTGTGTAGTTGGACCACGGCTCGTAGACGACCGTGGTGTTTGAGGCACATTCCATGCATTTTCTGGGTTGGCGGGGGAGGGGGATGGGGTGGTTGTGCTGGTGGTGGTGGTGGTGGTGGTCGTGGGGTCCATTCATATGGCCACCACATCCAAAACACTGGAACGATCCAGATCTGTCTTTTGCGAAAGCGTTTTTCCGCTTATTTTTTCGTCTCGAACAATCTTCTTTCGAGACTCAAACGCCGACGCCGTGTAAATGCCTAAAGGCCACGGCCGGCTTGCACGACGTGGACTGTGTAGTTGAGGGCTTCTGGTGGAGCATCCAAAGTGCATGTTTTGAGGGCACGAGCGAAAGGCCGTTTTTGATCGCAAGCTGTAGGTGTGGTTTGTCGATGCGTGTGGTGCAAAGCTGAATCTGGTGGGAAGCATCGCGAAAACGAACCAGGCACGTTGCTGGAGAAACGTTTAGTTTAGGCTAGTCCGTAATTGCGATGGAAATGATTCTGGAAGACCTTGAAGCCCACACAAGCTTGGGAGGAGTGGCAGGCGCAGATGATGGAATGCCACTTTGAGACATTTCATGGACGTGTTTACAGGTCGCCTTTCACAAAAAAAAGTGCATAAGGCTGTCATCCATCCTGGTATTCGCTGGACCTGGGCGATGTGGCCATGCCAGAAGTGGCCTTGTTGCATGGGCACGGGCGCATCGCTCAAGGGGGGGGGACGATGCCGCCTTTGCCTTGCAGGCTACAGTGGGCCTCGTCATTCTTCCCTTCCAGGCCCCTGTAGTGACGGCTCTGAATGCAAGGGGTGCCATGTGATGGCCCTGGCCAAGTATTCCTTTTGCCAGCATTCTGCTTAAGACTTTTTGCTCTTGCAAACCTGTTGCACCTCGACTGCTACCACTTTGTTTCTGCCTTCGATGCTGAGTATGCAAGCTGCTGTCGGCCCGTTGGATTGCACGGAGGCTGCGAAGAGCGTGCCTGGGAACTAGGGATTTCTTAAGGCCGTGCACGATCGGAAAGCATCGACCTCTCATGAGAACCCTTAACGGCGAAATTTGCAGTCCTCTCACAAAGGTGAGGTGTGGTGCTGCAATCGCTTGGAAGGAAGGGAGCAAGGAAGCAAACAGATGTTTCAATGCCTAAATGCCTAAACCATCCTAAGCCGAGGGAAGCAATCTCTCTTGTCCCTGACGGCCAAATTAGCCCAAATCTATTTCATGGGTCATGACAAGTACACTCCAGACGGTGGCGAAAGATGAAAGCAGCCTGAAAGCAGCTGCAAGCTTAAGTGGGGCGTAGATGTTGAAATCTGTTGAACCAGCTAAGAAGATGTTAGGATCATTAGCGGGATTTCGCAGACCCAATTCCCCACTTATTTCGGAACATCTCTGCGGCTTTGCTCAGCACAACATTGAGATACATAACTTGCCGAGAATCATAGTTTCTTTTGAGAAGAAGTCCTACGGACGCGTGACTAGAGAGGCCGAACATTAACCGAGACAGCAAAAGCCATCCCGAATTTAGCTTTATGGCTCCCTTGTGGTTTTTGTCGCCACGCAACTAGACATCTTGGGGCGACAGGCAAGCAACGAAGTTTGGTCGGCGAAGTTCATACATTTTGCATGCTCTGTAGTGGACTGGTCGCGGAGGCTGTCCACAGTAGTTGGCGGGATCGTGTCTTCAGCTTTCTTTACTTCAGAAGATTTCAAACGTCCACGCACTCAAAAGTCACACCCCACGGCTGTGAGAGATCGTGCACTGATCTGACTTATTGCGTGCTTGGAGGGTGCAACGGATCTGCCCGGACCGATTCTGCCTATCTTTCGACGCTCCGACCTTGGGAATGCAAAATTTGCGGTGGTGGATGTTAGTGCGTTCATGTCCCACGCCAAAATACCAGGTGTTTTGACCACCACGACTACGTCGACGAGCTTTACTTTCACTACCACCACCACAGTGCACTGACGAGCAAGCTTAGTCTGTGTAGTTTTTCTTGATCGGCTCGAAAGACTTGCGGCTGTCTATGGGCAACCGGATTTACCAAGTTGCATGTTAAACAGTGGTCTACTCGAGCACTGGCCGACGCGTGAGCCAGACGTGCCTGGCAGAATATTTATGAGCGTGCCATGCCGTCAGCCATTCACAGCTTGTACGGGCCATCATGTACAGCAAGATCATGTGAGATCCAGCGTTGCTACTCGTAGCTTTCTTTCAGTCGCACGACGATCTCCAGCCAGGTTTCCATATCCACATCGTCAACGACTATTTCGTGTCTTGCACGCGGATAAATGGTGTTTGTCGCAAGACTTGGGAGTAGATTAAGTGCGGTGACTCTCCCTCTTGGGGAGGTCGACTACAGAAACCACCACCCCAGGGGCGGCCACGCTTGATGGCTGCTGGGGGCTTTCGGTTTCTGATGCTGCGTGCCTCGTCAAAGTGATCCCGGGAAGTTGTCCTTAGAGAAGTGCCCTCCAAAGGGTGTCTTCCATCTTGAACTGTGCCATGACATGCCATGACATGCTACATCCGCACTTCCAGTTGTGACCGGATTTTGCTCCCCAGGACAGCGGCTGACACCCCAGAGTTCCAGAACGCCTTGCGACAGGTGCTTGCAAAAGCTGCCGGACCGAATGTCCTTCCAGAGTATGCCGCTTGTGCAGCATTGTAGCTTCACGGGAAGTAGGGTGTGTGTCAGCCCCTGTCCTCCAGTGGAATGGTCTGAGGTTGCAGATCTGAGCCTTTCGGCGGGCAGGGCCCTGAGGCTGTGGTGTTTTTGCTGCGGCCATCTATCCCAGTGCGAGACACAGAGAGAGGGAGAGAGAGACCGACTGCGGACATTGCGCGCCCCTAAGAACGGCCTCCCTTCCGGGGGGCTATCTGTGAGAGAGAGAGAGAGAGACAGACCTAGGGAAAATTTCTGAAGCCCTCAACACCTCGCACACATCTCCAAAGTTGGGCTCCAAGCCTTGGTGTGCGCCTTGCAGGACCCAACAGGGAGAATGAGGTGGGCGCCCTCGCACTTTCCGTGCCTTCCCTCCCCTCGCCTCCCGGCCTCTGCCCCGCTCCATGCTTTGTGCGTTTTCTGTGCTTTCTCGGCCCTCCGCGCTGCCTCTAAGTGTTCATCTTACCTCCCCTCCTCCCCTCCCCCTTCCCTTTGCTCCACTTCACCCCTCGCCCCGTGCCACCCCGAAAACTTCCTTCGTTAAAAGCATGTGAACCCTTCGAATCCTTTAGTTATAGTGCATTGTGTTTGCAAATGGGTCAGTGCCCCCTTCGACATCAATCATGCGAGTACTGTCAAAGAAATTCGTGGAACAGAACGAGACATACGAGCTTTGTGTTTACAAACGCGGGATGTGTGTGGGTGGGGGGCTGCTTTTTGAAGTGCGACTTTCACTCGATAAGATGCTCCGATAGAACTATGAAGGTCAAAAGGAAGCCAAAACAATCCGCACGGGAGGACAAGGCCGGAGACACCCCCTAACATGATGGCACGGGAATCACGCGGGGTGTGAAATGGTCTTTTCTCGTAAAGTAATCAACTATCATGACTATACCCTGCTTCACCTTATCCGACCCCAACCCCCCCCATCCCCCCACCCCCAAACACCCCACCCCTTCCCACCGCCCGTCTTCACCCCCGCACCCCGCCTGCCCCCAGCCCCCTGTATGTTACACAAGCTCAGGCCGAGGCAGGTCGCGTAGCGTTACAAATACATCTTGTTATACCATTGCTTAAAATGTGCATGCGGAACGGACTTCAACATGGGTATTTCATTCATTTCAGTGCTCTTGTAACCCTGAAGGGTCCATCGATTCCATTACTCAATTTGCACTGCAATTCTACGAGAAAATCCTCCCGGATGACTGGGCCATCCCCGCGCCATTGCCGAGCCATTGTCGCGCCATTCAAGAAAGCCTGCGTCCTGCGTCCCTCCGGCTCTGTCCTTCTACTCCATGTGTTCTACCAATGCCCGCGCCATTCCCGCACCATTCCCGTGCAATTCCAGCGCCATGGACGCGCCACCACGTCAACGGTCCACACAATCGACCACACAGGCTCATCAACAAGACCACACGCCGGGCGAGCTACACGCCACACCGTGTTTCATACCGTGGACCTGCAAGCTCAACCTGACACACCGCAGTCAGAAGATGCAACTTCCCAGAAGCTTCTCAATATCAGAGTTTAGGATGTAAAATATAGAGGTTCCCATTTCCCCCCCCCCCCCCCACCCATCCCTCCCCCTTTCCCACCCCCAACAAAAACAGGGGTCCACAAAAGGGGGCGAAAACCGGCTCGGCCCGTTTTCGCCTTGCAATGGCCCCGTGAGGTGAGCTGATACTTTTCCGTGGCCGCTCCGATGCTTGCGAAACCGACTACCGCTGTGCACGATTGTGGGACAAAGCGGGAAGGAGCATCACGAGCATCACGAGCATCAGCTCTGGGCATTTTCCCAGTAAAGCCTGAAGGGAGCCGAAACTTGAAAACAACACGCAGAAGCAGAAGAAGAAGAGGAGACAAGAAGATGAAGAACGGGAAGAGATGGCGAAAGAAGCAACAAGTCTAAGTCTGTGGGGTAACGAAACTGGTATTGCACATCAAAGGTCTTGGCTGCGATGGTCGCCTGCTTTCAGGCCGTCGCCTCCAAGAGACGCTGCGTGTGGACTACCTTATCGTGCCCTGATCTGTTTTTTCTCATGATTTCAATGATTTCGTTTTTTGTATAGGGGACTTGTTTTTTTTCACATCTCCAATGCTGCGGTACCCATGACTCCAGCGAATCCTCAAAATGCGTAAGGCTGGGTGCGATGAGGGCAAATGCGAACAAAATGACCGGGGTCCAGACTCACTTCTTTTGGCTTTCGGAGGGGTCGTATTCAGCTAAGGTCTTCCCAACATCGCTGGGTCTTGAGGCAGCGGTTGCATTGGCCGAAACCAGCCAAAAGGGGCTGGAGACCGTGACAGTTGAGGCGACCTCAACGTGGCTGAAGGAAGAAGTCGCCCAGGTGGAGGCGTTACAAGGCTTGGATGTTGCTGTAGCAACCAAGAGCGTCGTATTATCCATTTCAGAGGAAGCTGCAGAGCTTGTACCAGAACACACTGCTGACGGCACCGCCGTGCAGGTTGTTATTGGCTCTGTTGCACTTCTTTTTCCAGCTTGCCTCCTGGTTCTATCTTGGAGGTGTGCTAAGCGGCTAGCGCCACGCGCCGTTCCACCAGTTGAGCTCAAGCTGGCTGAGCTTGTTGAGGTTTGTCCAGATGTTCATGACATCCGACGAACAAGCCTTATGGACGATGTCGACTTCCGATTGTCCGACGTTCAGGAGCTCGAGGCTGACTTGCCGGAGGCATTGGCCAACAAGTCGGCGAAGCGCCTGGTGCCGAAGGGTCGTGCAAAGAAGAAAGCGCTGGCAGCAGCATTGCTTGCGGATGCCGGCAAAAGGCACAAAGCAAAACGACTTGTCCCAAAGCAAAGGAAGGTCAAAGAACAGACCGAGCTCGCATCTGGGGATGCAAGCGAACTAAATGAGATTCGTATTGGCTTTGATATGCCACCTTTGAGCTTCTCGGGCTTCGATGACGACAACCTCTTGGACCCACCAGAATGTCCGCCTGAACCCTGGCTGTCAGATTCCGATGATTCCGTCAGCCACAGCCCGACGGTTGTGCATCCGTCTCCTCCCGAAGAAGAAGAAGTGGAAAAGGAGGAAGTCAAGCCAGCTCCACCGAGGCCCAAGAGGCTGAAGAAGCGCAGTTTGTCCAAAAAGAAAAAAGAGGTGAGATTATCGGAGGAGGGGATCTTCGAGGATTGGTTGGAGGAGGAGGGGGCAGTGGTGGCTGCGCCATCGTTGCCATGGGAGGAAGAGGAAGTAGTAGATTCCACAGTTAATGCTCGTGCTCAAGCTTCTCCAAGGAAGGATGACCCCCATGAAACATGGTAAGGTCAAAGGACCTTGCTTGAGATTTGAGTGGAAGAGTTTCTCCAAGAACTGCATGCAACAAACCACATCTGCGACCCCCATGCCCTGAGAAACTTGGAAGCTCGAAAGGCTGAGCTGCTTGAGAGAGCCTGACGTGCTTAAGCAGGAAGGAATTGATTGAGCAGCTAAGCAGCCTTTCCTGCACTTGTTAACATTATTCGAAGCAGCCACATTTCGATGCGATGAGAAATTTCGAGCGCTGCCAGCTGCCCACGGCCTTCTACAGATGCACTTTTGCCTTTGCTCAGTCTTCGTCCATTCAGCTTGGGTATGCTTTCCAACAACCTGGATGAACAGCCACTTTTTCTTCTGCTTGTGGCAAGGTCCTTTGTCCAGGGAGCCGCCTTGTTGAGATATGTAGCACAGTATAACAGAGAGGAGGTGGCACGCAGAGCCAGCATTCGATACACGAGCAACTCAAGTTCCCCCAGTTATATCCGCGCGGTGGCTCCAAAAAGCATGTCCCACATGTTGGCAGCTGTGCAGACTTGACACATTTCTGAGTGACATGGAGCTTTCTGCACATGGATGCAGCGAGTGCGCGGCTCGTTTGACCAATGCCAGCACATGTCCAAGTTGTCCAAGCGAAGCTGTATGCCCAGGCAGCATTACACTCAGGGCACTCCATTTCATCGAAGGAGAAGCAGGAACGACCCGCTTCGCAAGGTAAGGACTGGTGAGCTGTTTCGAGTTGTGTCTTGCTCTTTGAGGCTCTGGGCAGGTGGAGCACGCCAGCCTGCTCGCAGTTGCTGCCGAGGCCGCAGATCGAGTCAGTGACGCAGGAGAGTGGGTAGAAAGTGGGAAGAACGTAGAACCTCGGATCATGGTCCAAAATGCATGTTACAGAGGTCCGCGCGGCAGCAGCCTCTGGTCGTGAAGCGGACATTGCAGCGGCAGTCTTTCGTTTGGCCCAGCGAAGTTTGACTCTTCCCTTCGGCGCAGCTTCATCGGAGGCAGCTCGTGGCACATTGCGTGAGAAAACGGAGAAAACGGAATGAGGGAACTCGCCGTAGCTTGCATGTTGTTGAAACGTTTTCTTTTTGCAAGTTCGCCGCTGCAGCCTGCGCCGCAGTGGCTGGCATGACTGAGCCGGAGCTCCTTGGCAAGGCTTTGCAACCTTTGAGTCCCGCACTTCTAACACGTTCAGCTTTGAAGTGGTAGGTCATTGGACGGTCTCACATTCTGCGGGTGCTGGAGGACGCCGAATGCACAAAGCATTGGGGGGTTTGCTTTGTTATTTGAAGTTATTTGTGTGATGGATGACATATGTGGTGCAGGAACTGGCAAGGCATGTTGACACTTACCAACCGTACATCTTCAGCTTCTTGTCGCGAACGGGCTATGGCCAGATCGCAGGCGATTTGCTGCTGAGCGTGCAGTCCAGTTGAGAGCAGTCTGAGCAGCATGCTGGCCCATGTGCTCGTGCATTGTTCTGCAAGTGTCGAGCGCTCCAGTCAAAGGCCTCGATGCATCAGCACGACGGATGCAGGCCAGTGCCCGTGGTCATCGAGGGTGGCTTCATGTGGTTCACGTAGCGTTCACGTGGCTTCGTGGAAGCTTGTGAATTAGGGGCGGGCGGGGTTAAATCCACGCCAAGATCCGCAAAGGGAGCATTTTCAACCCCACAAAGGGCATTCTGGGCATGTCAGGCTCATGTGCTATTTTTCTATCCTGGCGGAAGGGCCGCCTTTCCACTCAAAAATGAATTGCTCTAAGAAAGCTCAGGGCAGCATCCGACCATGAGCACAGACATCACAGCTCTCAGTGATGTGGGCTCAGATCCAGCAGATGGAAGCTATTGATCCAGGATGTATTTTGCCAGGAGGTGGGACAGGAGGCAATTGGGTTCGCGTGCACTCATACCCTTGACCAACACGATCACAGGCTTTCAACATTGAGCTCCCATGTGGGAAATTTCTACACTGAGATAACGATGTTGACATTTGCAGTGTCCACTCCTGCTGCAAAAAGGTGGGCTGAAACCAAGTCCAAGCATTTACGAGATCAGAGCTTGACCGGTGTGGCTGCACCCGCTTTGCGTGGGGATGCAGTGGCTGCTAGCCGTCAAGACTTTGCGGCCATGCCATCACTTCGCCTGTTTGTCCAATTTTACACACGGCTGCATGATTCCAGCTTGCATGCATCTGCTGTTGGGGAGTGGTCATTTACATTTTGGACGGGCAACAGCCTTCCCCTGGTCTCAGAACCTGACGTGCTTACACGGGCACCGTTGGCTGGAGCATTCTTCACGCAATGCGCACAAAACCCTATGAACCCCTAGAAACCTGGATTTCTAAACCCAAAACCCTGAACCCTAAACCCTAAACTCTAAACCCTAACCCTAAACCCTAAACCTCTAGAAACCCTGAACCCCACACTTTGTTTGGGCACCCTAATGACCCCATGGACTCCTGAACAAGCGGCTCCTTTGTTCTAGCAAGCGAAGAAATCCTAAATCCTAGCACCCAAAACCCCAAAACACCCCAACCCACCCACCCACCCCACCAACAAAAAACAAACACAAAGAGCAACATACAAAACAAAACAAACCCCCAAACCCAAAGCTCTAAAACCCTGAAGCCCTATAATTACCCCCCCCCCCCCCCCCAAACCCAAAACCCTAAAACCTGGGGAGGGTGGAGTTTGCTAAATTTCCCTAAGCCCCAAAGCCCAATTTCCGACATTCCTAAAACCCCAAACCCCAGATTGAATACACGACAAATCTCGTGCCTCCAACGTAGCTGCTGAGAATCTTAGCTTCTGTGCTGTTTCGACAGCACCAGAATCTTTGCTACACGTGTTGAAGGCTTGAGAAGCCAGGTGGAATAAATAGCTCCCTGACGCTCAGATCTCCTCACCTCGTGTGAGGCAGCGCTCTCTTCCATTTGCGTTTGGCTGCTTGCCGCCTTCTGCCGCGCAGTGGGGTACCGCTTCTCGGCAAGCTGTTTTACATCCCACTTGAGCCCGTCTTAACAGCTTTGCTTGAGACACATGTGTAAGAGAGAGCTCAGGATGCTTCTCTGCAGAGATTCTCTGGGAATGGTCTAATGCCGATCCGCTGTTCATAGGGCTCTTGGTGCGAAGCACTTTGACGCTGGAGTTGTCACCTGGCCATGGCAGACCAGACACGTCGCGTCGCCACCATGCCATGCCAAGACTTAGGAGCTGGAGCTTGCACAACTTGCAGCGGCCATTGCTAAGGCTGTGCCAGCTGGTGCCAGAATCACCTCTGGGGGGGCTCCTGCTTCCTGCTGACCTGCGCGATCTACAAACTGTGGTCTTTCGGGCATTGCTGGGATTGACCAGTGCGCCCGCTGAGGCTGTGCACTTTATGAACCTAGCTGACAAGACTGCTAGTTGCGGCCAAGGGCCTGACATCGTCTTTGCCGACGTGGTGCCGAAGCGTGCTGAAAGAGAACATGCAACTATGGAGGCATGCTTTCCTCAGCTCAGCATTAGGCGGAGTCGATGTTACGCATTGTACTTCCTCAAAAGCAAACTTGCACTTGCACTGCTTGGTGGTGATCGTGTCGGTTACTGTGATGGTGATGGTGGCGGTCGTGCTGTTTTTTTTTTTTTTGTATGTCTTGTTGTTCATCTTGTTGTTTTGTTGCGCCTGTCGCTCAGCATTACGACTTTGTGCATGCATGACGCTGTTACGATGCCAAGCAGGTACAATCTCCTGCTCTTCATTTTGCCCGTCACTGGTCACGTCTGGCTGTTGCCGCAAGTGAGACGGGGCTTGTGCCTATCCTTCTCGATGTGGCAGAAGGTGGGGTCGCATTCAACCAATTGTTGGTTGGTCTAGTGAGGGGCATCTTCTCGACATGTGCGGGCTTCACCGTGTGCTGCCTTGCTGATCACCAGGACTTATGAGCGACGAGAAGTTCCAAATGCCTGCGTTCTTTGCCAAAATGCTGAATGCCAGTTTGCAGGACCCAAGCTTTTCCGACAGAAGGTGGGCATCGCAGCATGAAGCAGGACATGTGCACTCAGGATTCTGATGTCTGCTTGGCAGACGAAGAGTTATTTCAGGCAGCCTGATGCCAATCGGAATAGTGCGTGCGGGTCTTTGCTCCATGTCCAGGCATGCCATGTTGCGTCAGCTCATCTCCGCGATGCCTTCAATGATGCTGATAATGCAAGCAGGCTCGCACCCAAAGCTGCCCAACCCGCCTACAGAGAGAAGAGTGCGAGAGGTAGGTTGTGGGGGCCCATGAGTTCTGAAGGAAGGAAAAGGGGAAAAGGTCAGAGTTGCCCGAAAACCGGGGCGACGACGGGGGTTCGTCTTGGCCCCACGAAGGAAAGACAGGGATTTCTTCGCTCTGCATGCCGCGCACAAGGAGAGGAAAGAGAGAGGGGAGGGTTTAAGTCCGGCGCTTGTTTGTTAGAGTGTTGTGGTGTGGAGGCGGGGGAGTTTGAACCATAGTTGTGAGCACAACCTCAAAGCTGGGTGTTGCGATGTTTCAGCCCGAAAATTGTATGCATGCAGTGAGAGGAAACCAACCGAAACAAGCGGGGAGTAATGTTCCAAGCCGGGGACCAAAGTAGTGGGTCTCCCGCTCTCTCCGTACCAGTGCTATCCGGATGATGGTGACGAATTTTGTCTTGAGGCCTTGAGGCTCTCCCACCCTTTGAATCAACCCACTGAGCACGCACAAATCGTTTCCCCCCCCCTGACGGTCCGGTAAGATGTCGAGGCAGGAGTAAATGCCCTAACCCCCAAAGCCAAGTTGAGGCCTTGAGGCATCCATCCTCAGCTGACCTTTCCTACCTTTCCTACCTTCGTTCAGGCTGCCATCGCGCTAGGTCGCACGCTTGCATACTAAGAATGTGCTTTGAGCTTTGAGAGGAAACGGTCAAACATAGCTCCCAAAAACCAAGACGCACAAGAGCATGCAACGGGCCGATGGAAGCCCCCAGTGGACAGTGGAGGGTGCATTCGCAGAGCTTGGCGAAGGGCCTTGAGGGGGCTGGTGAGGGTCCTTTAAGATATTCGAGAACGAAGACGACACGTCGTGGCTGAGGCTCAGGCACAGCTGTTACGAAGAGCAGAAGCGAAAGAAATGCATGGCTTCAGAGTGCAGCGTGCAACTGAAGTTGTCTTTCAAAACTTCCAAGCACGGGTTGGAGTTCGAGCCCTCTCCTTGCACCATGCCGAAAGCAGCCGGGCGATATCTGGTTCATGGCTCCTACCTTCTTCGTGCGCTGGAGGAGCGTGTTTGAGCGAGTGCAGGCTCGACCACTACGTTTCTAATGAGGCATTCATTCTCTGGCGCAAGTCTCAGCCTCTACATAGTGAGCCAAAGGCCTTCACACGGCTGTGTGTTCCAGATGCTCTGAACGATTGCTGTAGCTTGCCCCTGCCCCCATCCTAAATTTCTCACGTCCTTAGCGCAGGGGAAGGCAGGGGCCCGGTGACTTCCCTCCCCTCCTCCCTCCTTTCCTTGGGCTTCATGTTAAATGAGCTGACTTGGTTTGCAATGGTTGGTGTACAAAAGCTTGCAAGATGAACTTCCTAGTGAATTGGACCCTTGCCTTGCTCCGCAAGATGCAGGACCTGAGCGGCGAGAACCATGGCCAGATTGCACGAGACATGCTCGTCAAGGCCAGAGCCCTCTTATTTGCAGCTGCGCTCTGGTGACCTTTTGCAGATGTAGGCACCTGCTTTTCCAGCTGGCTGTGCCAGGTTTTCAAGAGGCTGGACGCTTCTTGGACGGACGAACACACGCAGCTAATGCTGGACGCAGCTGGCTTGGCAGGCTCGGAGGGCAGTGCTTTGTACGGCGTGGTTCTGAGCAGCTGCGGTCAGGTGCATACATTGACTGCTGCGAGCTTCTAGCATGGCTCTTTGGCCCCGAGAAGAGTCGCAGGGCAGCATCATATGAACGTGTGACTGACTACTGCACCTGGACAGCGGGCTCTCGCCTGAAGGCATCAATTTATACCCTGTCAAGAATCGGTCGCCGTTGCAGAGGGCAGCCTTTCTCGCCGAGCAATGGGAACCTTGGCAGGCACACTCTTGAGGCAGCAAAGCCTAACAACTAACAACCCAGTCATTTTGTGTCATTTTGCACTAACATGCCCTAGTCTACGCCACAATTCGCACCAACCGTGTACAAAGGTCCGTTCCTCGCTTGAGTCGACAAGTTCTGCCTTGTCTCTGTAACCTTTCGTAAGGCTTTCGTAGCCTTGTGCCTTGCACGCGCCTGCGAGAGTGCAGCTTCAACATGCTTCAGCATATTAAGCTTCAAGGAGTCATACCTAGCTAAACCCTAAACCCGCTTCTCCCGCTTCCAGCTAAACGAAGATCCTAGGCAGATCGTCCACTACATGGTTGACTGAGAATTAGCGATTCACGCAAAGCGAAAGTTTGGTCTGACACCTGCAGCTAACTAGCTTTTCTTTTTCAGTCGCTTACAACCACAGTTTTTTGCTGCGAATCTGGGTTTAGCAGTTTGACCCCAGCTTGTGCTCGCGATTTTGTTGGTGTGACGTGACATCTCGCGCCCTGGCCTTGCTTGAACTCCCCCTGCCTCGTACTGAGAACACATGCCATTTCAACTGGGGTTGGAAGATCTCGCTTAGCGGGCATGCCAGAAACCCATTAAGATTCTCAATGGGTTGGCCACAGCACACGTGACACGGTTGTTGTTACTTCTTGAGAGCTGCGCATGTGTTACTTCCTACAAGCTGGTGTGGCAACTCATGCGGCGCAAAATGAAATTCTGAGGAACCATTCCTGGCAGTTGTGCGTGGACATCTCCACAGCACCGTTGCTCGTGTCTTGGACAGACTGCCAGACACCTTGAATGAAACATTTCCTGGTTTTGTTAAATGCTGGTACGACCAGCTCATGCTGTAACCAAAGATTTCAGACACTGCAGTGGACGGAGGTTGCAGTCACCAAATCACTAAGGAGCAAAAGCTGGGTTCTCTCTTCATGAGATCATGCCTTCGCACGAATCCCTCAGCTCTTTGACGGAACGCTGCCAAGCGTTGACAGAAGCATGGCACGGGCGCGTTTCTTGGCTGAGCTCTTCCATCCTCTTCACGGCTTACACAGGCTTGTACAGCAAGGCTCTGGGATTTTGTTTGGTTTCAGCAGTAGTTAGGCTTGCTTGATGCCGAGCTGTACCATTGAGGCGAACATTGGTATGCTCTACGAGGTCTTCACAGAGATGGCAGAGCATGATGGCAGCTCGTTTACACACTCGTCCGTGGTATGACAAATGATGGGCGGGAGCTGTTTTGCTGCTTTCTCGGAGAGTGAAGCAAAGACCCCATGGCTGCAGCGTGCTAAGTGTGGCCATCGAGGTACCTCTCTCAAGAAGCGTGATTAGTTAAGCTAAGACTGAGGACATAGTGCATATTTTTTCCGAGATATCCCACAGTGTCTTGGCAGCTTCAGCGGTGAAGTGCATTGTGTCACGCTTTGTGGACATTCACATGCCGGCTGTGGCATGCTGTGTGTCATCATCGCTTCAGGACCAGATCGGAGGATGGCTACGTGCGACTCCTGAATGGCCAGGCAGGGGCTGTTCCTTTTTTCAAGAGCGTATAGTTCTAGCCGTGGAGAGCCACCAGGCATGTGCACGGCCTGTGAGATCAAGAATCTACGAATTCAGGTGTCCAATGTCACTCGCATCCATGGCTGTCCACGTGCGACGGGAAAGATGAACAACTGACGCAATTTCGCTTGACGCATCTATGATGTTTTCTGCAGATGCTTTTGAAGTCCTTTCCCAGATTTGTCGCCCTTCGACAGGATCCCGCTCGCCAGCCCCCCCCCCCCCCCCCCCCCCCCCCCCCCCCCGCCCTGTCCCCCTTGCCTGCACACCCTGTCCCGCCAGCGTTCCCATGGCCCACCAGGATGCCTGTGATGTAGGACCTCCCCTTCACAGAATCCCAGAAAAATCCCCTGGCCCTGGACCCCTAAGAAGTTTTTGGAAGCATGCATGTAGATCCAGTCCAGCAAGAAGAATGAAAATAGGGCAAGTCAAAAGGGATTTGGGAGGGTGTGGCGATCCCAAACACGGTGATGCAAAGTGGCCTTGCGTATCGCCTGCCCCAATCGTAAAACCCTAAGCCCTAGATTAACATGGCCCCTGCACAAGGAAAATCGAGAAGTGTACCAAGAGCATCGAAACCCCAAAACCCTAAACCTTAGCCCCTAAACCCTAACCCCAACCTCCCAACTACAACTACACCACAGCCGGCAAAGGGAAGGAAGGGCCCGAAACCATCAACCCTGAACCCTAACCCCCAAACGTAGCAGCGTGTCCAAGAGATAGGTCAGGGAGGCAGGTGGCAAAAAACACCCACCCGGACCACACATGTGTACCCTGACTCGCCCACGAAGGTGAACACCGTGAACGCCCAAACCCCATGCACACATTCCCGGGAGCACGCACCCAAATTTGGTCTCTGGAACCGGCCCTGGCCCCTGAGGGTGTGAAGGTTTGCTTTTGTTTTTCCCGCTGGATGGGCTTGAGTGGGTTTGAGAAACAGGTGCGGCAGCAGCTCTACCGACATGGCTCTAAGAGAGCCGTGCTTGAAGTGGTGGAGCCCATCCCGTTGGTGGGGAGGCATGCAGACACATGGCAGGAATACATGTCTTTACATGTCTTGACATGTCTTCACATGTCTTTACATCCCGCGTTGTTGATCGGACCATATGGGCCTTTTTCCTTGGTGCAGGCTTGAGCAGGCAGCTGGGGAATCTCCCATCGACAATTTGCAACTCCCCAATCTCATGCATCGCCAGACAGCGCTGCTTCTGACCACGGGACATCGTAGCTTGGATGAGCTGGATTTGTCAGGGACCAGCATGATGGCCCGCTAAATTTGCCCACGGCAGCGGTGAGACATCGTGAGGCATTCAGCAGTTTCTGGTACGGGTGCTCCGCTGGAAGCAGCACCGGATTCTTCAGATGCTATTTCCTGGTTCGGATGCTGTGGCAGATGTGAGTGCCACTCATCTGACTTTTGCACCCGGGCACTCTTGAAACGTCTCGGTTCGTGCAGAGTCTGGGTGCGAAGGCAGTCAAGACGAAGGCTTGGGACTTGCAGCTGAGTGCCTAAGCATGCAATGCAAATGTCCCTTTTCATGAACCCGGATCTGTTGAGTCATGGAGGAAGGTTCATGT